CACTCCCCAGTGTTAGTAAAATAACCCCCAGTGTGTTGTAAATGGCTCCACTCAAGAGATTTGAACGTGACAATTCAAGTCAGTGTTCTGTGTTAGTGTGAAAAGGCCTTAAAGGAAAAGAAGGGACATTTCAATGCATTTTGCCTGCGTTGGAAAATTCATAAAAATGAGCAGGCAATCAAAAAACGTTTCCCCCATTATCTACTGCATATAGAAAGCCATATTCAGCATTATAGGTTTTACAGAGGGAAGTTCAGTATTCTTGAGAAGTAATTTTGTTTGTTGGAGCTTGTAATAAAAACTTTACAAACATGTCTGATGATGTTCCATGAATCACGACTCAAACATCACTATAGCCAGAGCATTATGCAGAGGCTGCACATTTGCAGTGTCTGTACTCTCATTATATCACTTCCATAATGATTAACACCCCTGTAACTACATTTGTGACATAGATCATCCACGAGCCACATCTGGATGCAGAAGTGATGAGCAAATGATTTACAAATGGAAAGTCTGTGTATAGAATATATGCCATTGTTCTCTCTATAGGAGGGGGAAGGAAAACATTGGCTGAAGTTTCACAGTACATTGCAAGACAGAGTGGCTCTATAGGGGCTAAGCATTAAAACAAAGCAATTAAAAGAACATGTGCTTACATTGTTTTACTTAATTAACAGAGATTCATTTTTTTTCACCAACCCGATGCCTGTGCATACAAAAAATAGAAACAGACATTTAAAGCAAAGAGTTCCATTTATGCAATACAATAACACATTACGAGCCATTTATTATTATTATTATTATACAGGATTTATATAGCGCCAACAGTTTTCTCAGTGCTTTACAATATAACGGTGAGACAATACAGCAACAATACAGTTCAATACAAGAGGGTTAGGAGGGCTCTGTTCCTTGGAGCTTACAATCTAAGAGTTATACCTGTTTTCACTCCAAGATTCACTCAATTTTTCACATTGTTCCAACTGAACCCAATTAGAAAAATGAGTGAATCTTGGGTAACCAGTTACATGAAAAAAGGTTGTATGAAAAACTTTAAAGTGAAACATGCCATGCACAGCTGGGATCTAGGGGCCCACTTATTGTTAAAAGGGACTCCCAGATTCCAATAAGCCCCCCGCAATCAGACCCCACAACCACCAGGCTCGGGTTGTGTGGAAGAGATCTTTGTCCTAATCTCCCTGGCAAAATACCCCCTCCCCCATGTTGAGGGCATCAGGCAGGCCGGGTCAATATCAATAGGGCAGGTAGGTACAGGGGGAGCAAGCGGAGATTGGTCAGGGTCACAAGCCAGGGATCAGAACAGGTAGCAAGCAGCGTGGTACAGAGGGTCAGACAGAGGGATGGTCAGGAGCGAGCCGGATCAGAGCAGGAGAGCGGTCAGCAGAAACAGGATGCAGGACAGAAACAGGATGCAGGACAGAAACAGGATGCAGGGCCCAGGACAAACACACACCAAGGCAGAGTCTGTGGGTCTGGCCATCCCTTAAATACCCCAGCATAATCAGTTACAGGTGTTAGCTGGCTGCAAAGTTGAGTCTCTGATTGCTGGGAACACCCGCTGGCCAGCCCTGGTACTGCAGATCAAAAGGCAGGTGAGTCCCACCATAGCTGGCCAGTCCATTCCTGACAGTACCCCCCCCTCAAGGAGCGGCCTCAGGACGCTCCAAACAGTCCTAGCTGGGAAAAATGTTCCACCGCCCGGGTCTGGTAACTGGCGGGATATCAAAGACTGGCACACCGGGCAGGACTCCGGGCAGCGGTACACCGGGCAGAGGCACATCGGGCTGGACTCCGGGCAGAGGCACATCGGGCTGGACTCCGGGCAGAGGCACATCGGGCTGGACTCCGGGCAGAGGCACATCGGGCTGGACTCGGCAGAGGCACATCGGGCTGGACTCCGGGCAGAGGCACATCGGGCTGGACTCCGGGCAGAGGCACATCGGGCAGGACTCCGGGCAGAGGCACATCGGGCTGGACTCCGGGCAGAGGCACATCGGGCTGGACTCCGGGCAGAGGCACATCGGGCAGGACTCCGGGCAGAGGCACATCGGGCAGGACATCCGGGCTCCGGGCAGAGGCACATCGGGCAGGACACAGGCGAAGCAGGCACATCGGGCCACCAGGGCAGAGGAGCGCAGGCAGCGGGGGCCCCAGGCGGGCACAGGCACCGGGCCCCCGGGCGGGGGACAGGCACCGGGCCCCCGGGCGCACCGGGGGGGCGACAGGCACCGGGCCCCCGGGCGGGGGCGACAGGCACCGGGCCCCCGGGCGGAGCGGCGCAGGCCGGACCCCCAGGCGGAGCTACAGGGCGCCGGGCCCCCAGGCGGAGCGACAGGGCTCGGGCCCTCAGGCGGAGCGACGGCGCCGGACCCCCAGGCGGGGCGACAGGCCTCGGGCCCCCAGGCGGAGCGGCGGGCGCTCGGACCCCCAGGCGGAACTACAGGTCTCGGGCCCCAGGCGGAGCGGCGGCGGGCACCGGACCCCCAGCGGAGCGACAGGCCTCGGGCCCCCAGGCGGGGCGACAGGCATCGGACCCCCAGGCGGGGCGACAGGCATCGGACCCCCAGGCGGGGCGACAGGCGACCCCAGGCGGGGGCATCGGACCCCCAGGCGGGGCGACAGGCATCGGACCCCCAGGCGGAGCGGGCGGGCGCCGGACCCCCAGGCGGAACTACAGGTCTCGGGCCCTCAGGCGGAGCGGCGGGCGCCGGACCCCCAGGGAGCGACAGGCATCGGGCCCCCAGGCGGGGCGACAGGCATCGGACCCCCAGGCGGGGCGACAGGCATCACCCCCCCCAGGCAGGGGGCGACAGGCATCGGACCCCCAGGCGGGGCGACAGGCATCGACCCCCCAGGCGGGGCGACAGGCGCCGGACCCCCAGGCGGGGCGACAGGTCTCGGGCCCCCGGCGGCGGAGCGGCGGGCGCCGGACCCCCAGGCGGAGCGACAGGTCTCGGGCCCTCAGGGCGGAGCGGCAGGCTCGGACCCCCAGGCGGGGCGACAGGCTCGGACCCCCAGGCGGGGCGACAGGTCTCGGGCCCCCAGGCGGGCGACAGGCACGGGACCCCCAGGCGGGGCGACAGGCATCGGGCCCCAGGCGGGGCGACAGGCGGGCACCCCCAGGCGGGGCGACAGGCATCGGCACCCCAGGCGAGTCAGGGCGGGCACAGGCGCGGACCCCAGGGGGGCAAGCGGCGGGCATCGGGACCCCCAGGCAGGCAAGCGGCGGGCACGGACCCGTCTGGCGGAGCTACAGGTCACCCCGGGCCCTCTGGCGGAGCGGCGGGACCGAGTCGCCGGATCGGGCCCCCCCAGGGGGCGACAGGGCTCGGGCCCCCTCAGGCGGAGACGGCGGGCGGCGGCCCCCGAGGCGGCGGAAACTACGGGCACTCTCGGGCCCCCAGGCGGAGCGGCGGGACCGGCACCCCCAGATGGAGCGACAGGCCTCGGGCCCCCAGGGCTCGGGGGCGACAGGCATCGGGCCCCAGGCAGCGTCGGGCGACTGGCATCGGACCCCCAGGCGGGGCGACAGGCAGTCGGCCCCCAGGCGGGGCACAGGCATCGCGGACCCCCAGGCGGGAGCTGCGGGCGCCGGACCCCCAGGCGGAACAACAGGTCTGGGGCCCTCAGGCGAGTCGGCGGGCTGGCAGCGGACCCCCGGGCGGGAGTCGTCTGGCAAGGCATCGCGGACCCCCAGGCGGGTCCTGGACAGGGCGGACCCCCAGGCGGGGCTGGCAAGACTGCGCCCCCACCGAGTCGTCTGGCATGGCGGACCCCCTGCGGGGCACCGAGTCGTCTGGCAGGACTGCGGGCACCGGTCACCAGGCGGGGCACAGTGCGGGCATCAGGAGGCAACCCCCAGGCAAGGGGCACAGGCACCGGGCCCGTCTGGCGGCAAGCGGCGGGCGCCGGCCCCAGAGGAGCGCACAGGTCTCGGGCCCTCGAGTCGTCTGGCAAGACGCGGGCACCGCATCGGACCCCCCAGGCGAAGTCGGCGACAGGCATCGGTCTGGCAAGCCCCCAGGCGGCTGGCGACTGCATCGGGCCCCAGGCGGGGCAGACTCGGGCACCGAGTCGTCTGGCGGACTGCGGGCACCGAGTCGTCTGGCGAAGGACTGCGGGCACCGAGGCGGGGCGGCACAGGCTCAAAGCTGCGGGCACAGCAGGGCACCGAGTCGTCTCGGGCCCTCAGGCGGGCACCGAGTCGTCTGGCAAGACAGCGGGGCACCGAGTCGTCTGGCAAGACTGCGGGCACCGAGTCGTCTGGCAAGACTGCGGGCACCGAGTCGTCTGGCAAGACTGCGGGCAGGCACCGAGTCGTCTGGCAAGACTGCGGGCACCGAGTCGTCTGGCAAGACTGCGGGCACCGAGTCAACTGGCGGAACAGCGGGCACCGAGTCAACTGGCAAGACTGCGGGCACCGAGTCGTCTGGCAAGACTGCGGGCACCGAGTCGTCTGGCGGCAAGACTGCGGGCACCGAGTCGTCTGGCAAGACTGCGGGCACCGACGTCTCAGACTGCGGGCACGAGACTGGCAAGGGCGGGCACCGAGTCGTCTGGCAAGACTGCGGGCACCGAGTCGTCTGGCAAGACTGCGGGCACCGAGTCAACTGGCAAGACAGCGGGCACCGAGTCAACTGGCAAACTGCGGGCACCGAGTCGTCTGGCAAGAGACTGCGGGCACCGAGTCGTCTGGCAAGACTGCGGGCACCGAGTCGTCTGGCAAGACTGCGGGCACCGAGTCGTCTGGCAAGACTGCGGGCACCGAGTCACTGGCAAGACTGCGGGCACCGAGTCGTCTGGCAAGACAGCGGGCACCGAGTCAACTGGCACGACAGTGGGCACCGGGTCATCAGGTATCGGGATTGTCTGGCTCGACAGCAGCGGGCATCGGGTCACCAGGTATGACAGCGGGCACTGGGTCACCAGGCATCAGGTCATTTGGCTTGCCAGCGGGCACCGCGTCATCTGGCAAGGCAGTGGGCACCGGGTCACCAGGTATGACAGCGGGCTCTGAGTCAATTGGCACGACGACAGCGGGCACTGGATCAGGTACCGGATCATCTGGATCAACAGCGGGCATCGAGTCAACTGGCCTAATAGGATCGTCGGGCTGGATCAGTTCATCATGCTGAGTAGCGGCAGCAGGCTGAATGCAGGCATCAGGCTGAGTACCAGGCTTCAGGCTGAGTAGAGGCTTCAGGCTGAGTAGAGGCATCAGGCTGAGGTAGAGGCATCAGGCTGAGTAGAGGCATCAGGCTGAGTAGAGGCTTCAGGCTGAGTAGAGGCATCAGGCTGAGGAGAGGCTTCAGGCTGAGTAGAGGCATCAGGCTGAGGAGAGGCATCAGGTAGAGGCTTCAGGTAGAGGCATCAGGCTGAAGAGAGGCATCAGGCTGAGTAGAGGCATCAGGCTGAGTAGAGGCATCAGGCCGAGTAGAGGCTTCAGGCTGAGAGAGAGGCATCAGGCTGAGAGAGAGGCATCAGGCTGAGAGAGAGGCTTCAGGAGAAGAGAGGCTTCAGGCCGAGAGAGGCATCCGGCTGAAGAGAGGCATCGGCCGAGAAGAGAGGCATCAGGCTGAGTAGTAGAGGCTTCAGGCTGAGTCACGGAAGGCAGGTTCACCGGTTTGGATACTGGCAGGATGGTATTGGTTGGAAAGAAATTTTCGCTTTTTTCTGGTTTTTAACTACTGGAGCACTGCAAGTAAACGCAGGTCTGCAAACGAATGGAGCAGCTGGAGACAGAGAAAAACTGGAGGATGGAACAGGAGAGGAGAGGGAGCAGTTGCTACAGAGGGCTTTTTTACAGGGTTAAAGGCAGGATAGGTGCAGCGAGTGGGAACAGGGTACTGACATGCGGTAGATAGCCAAGTATACTGGGCTGTAACTGGAGGAGCTGGTGGGAATACAGGAGTAGAGTTAGAAGCAGGACTGGGTTTTTGTAAGCTGACTGAGGCTGGGTGCAACAAGTCTGTCCATGTCTGCAGTAGGGGTTGAACAAAGCTGAGCTTACACAAAGCCTGTCTGGTCAATGACTGCACTGCGTTTATACAATCTCTTAGTGTCTGTGGTGAACATGTGGAATAACGCTCCAGAAAGTAACCCACATCATCCTCTAATAACCACACCAGGGACTCAACCTGGTCTGCACTAAATGGTGGCAAAAAATTCATCCCTGCATTCGGGGGAACCAGATGAAACCAACTCAACACAAACCTGAATCAATGGCTGCACCATAGAGAAATCTGTGCCCTGATCTACTAGAACATGAGCGAGCCGTATACATTCTAGCAGTTCATCCCGGGGATACTCCTTCAGAGTCTGATAAGCATACTCTCTGTCATCAAGCACTAGCAGAGATAAATACTCAACCTCATCCAGATCCATCCTTCCCATCAACAAGCCAAGATGGCTTCCCTGTGCAGCCACTTCTGGTCAGGATTGGCCTTGGTGTAATGTCAGGGCTCCCAGGTGTGACCAGAGATGTGTGACTGACGCAGGGAAACGCAGACCTCAGATATGTTATAAACAATATAATTTATTAACACTAACAATACAAAAACATAAACGCAGTGCAATACTAAAACATAATACAGTGCAAACAAACCAAACCAAACCACCCACAGATAACAGTACATACAAGCAAGCGTCGTCAGGCAGGCCGGGTCAATATCAATAGGGCAGGTAGGTACAGGGGGAGCAAGCGGAGATTGGTCAGGGTCACAAGCCAGGGATCAGAACAGGTAGCAAGCAGCGTGGTACAGAGGGTCAGACAGAGGGATGGTCAGGAGCGAGCCGGGGATCAGAGCAGGAGAAGTCAGCAGCGGTTCAGAAACAGGATGCAGGACAGAAACAGGATGCAGGGCCCAGGACAAACACACACCAAGGCAGAGTCTGTGGGTCTGGCCATCCCTTAAATACCCCAGCATAATCAGTTACAGGTGTTAGCTGGCTGCAAAGTTGAGTCTCTGATTGCTGGGAACACCCGCTGGCCAGCCCTGGTACTGCAGATCAAAAGGCAGGTGAGTCCCACCATAATAAGGGCTGGGTATGGATTTTGGGGGGGAACCCACACATTTTTTTTTTACATAGAATTCCTGTTAGAACCCATTCCAGACCCTTCAGTATGGATTGAGGGGGGGGGGATCCCCACTCTGTTTTTTTTTTATTTACAGCTCATTTGTTTACATTTTGTTGTCAGCCGGGAATCCCCCAGCTGACAGTAGAATATAATGAAGATGCTTTTACTATCAGAGCAGACAAGCTATGGAATGTTCTCCCACAGGTTTACTGAACTTTCAAAAAGTACTGGATAATATACTGTATGACTACTCACAAAACATGAAGCCACTTCTAGGTGCTTGCAGGTTCTCATTCCTCCATGTTTGTTTCTCCCATACACCATTTAGCCAAAGTCCTGGAGCCACACACCACTTGTAAAGGGTAAAATAAACTTTATTACTCAGAACATACACTAACACAAACACTCCATTCAGGATCCCCCTTCTAATATGTTTTCCCACTGACCACTCCCAAAATGTGTAGTCAGAGCCCCCCCCCCCCCTTTGAGAGGGACTTTTAAGGAGAGACAAGTGAGTTAGAGCTTGACACACACACACACATAGAGATCTCCCAGCAACATCGTAAATATATATATATATTTTTGTGAGATCTCTTTGTAAATATTTTATCGCACCTGTTTTGACCCTTTTAGTAATAAATCTTTCTTTCTGAAAGTGTTAAACTGTTTTTCTAAAGCGCTTACTTGCAATTCACGAATCCCTGCCTTTGAAGAGACGCTACTGTTTGGTATATCTCTGTATAACAGGTCCGCGGGCTGTGCTATATAGATCAATATTTCAATCATTATAGTGTATATTTGATAACGGGAGTTTCCCAGTCTCCGACAAAAGTGGTGGGTGGCAGTAGAGGGTTAGTTGCGTAATTAACCTGACCCAGTAACAAGCGCATTTAGGCTGCAGGCACCGATTGTAGTTCATTAGCTGGGCAATCGCTGTGCTGGGTGCAGCTGAGTGTGGCCTTGTTACGCGCGTCACACCGTGGTTTTAGATCGGCCGGTACTTTGGTCACGAGTTTGGTGAGAAGGTCTGGGGTCTAACGCCGTGGCTGTGACGTATTTCCTGTTAGTCGCGGTCGTGCGATTGTCGCATGTTGGTGGTGGCGATCGTGGATCCGTGACACCACCCACTGCCTCTAAGGCCCTCCCCCGAAAGCCTGAGAGCAGGGGAAATTCCAGGGGGGCTGGTCTGCAGAGTCTTTCAGCCCTGACCACAATTTGACCCCTCTGGCTATCACACCTGAGATACTAACCAGCTACTGACTAACCATTAGGGTCTAGCTCCCCTAACTGCACTAGGACGGTGATACACCTAGCAAAATCTTAATTGTGCTCCTTGGCATTATGCAGAGAAACCCCAGCTGTAAAACAGCCAGCCTCTAACTTACCAATGTGGTCAGAAATACAGCAATTTTTATAGAGTATATATCAATGTCACATCTGCACAAATCTATTAACTAACCATGAATGGTTGATGGTTTATTGACTACTGGTGTTACTTCATTAGCAGCATCTATTTCAAGCACATTTTACACATCACTGAAAGCTTAGACACACTCATGATTGATGTCTTAATTGTTTGTAACAGAAATACAGATAATAAATGTATATTAAGCTCAATGTCACTAGATGCATGGTAGCTATTCCAAAATGGAATCTATGTCACTTCTGTACCTTTCTATTTCCAGATATCCACTGCATTAATTTCTATATTTTCATGCAAAATAGTTGTACTATTGGTTGCAATATTTACCCTCCCTCCTCATGGTTATGATACGCTTTTACTACAGTAAACATTGTGGAGACTCTCCTTCTCTGCCAGTTTAATATATCAAAAAAGTTTTCTAAAGCCAGTTTTGGGTAGAGTGGTGGTAAAATTAGAATCCTTGTCAGGTATTTATTGCTCTTTTATATGCAAAGAAGGATAGCGCTTTTCAGTGTTGGTCACAACAGAGTCTGATTGTCTCTCTTTGTCATCCAACATGGCTTCCTCCTCTCTCACAGTCCGGATCAAGTCTGGATAGTTCAGGAGGCCACCATCTCGCCGAGTTCGTAATAGAATGGCAATGGGGTCTAGGGGCCTGGCTCCCCGTAGGACTTGTTGCGCCCGAACCTCATCTACTCTTTCAGGGCCTATTCCCCTTTTTAGCTTCAGTTTGGTATATTATCTTGTCTAGATGTCCCATGTAACTGGAGAGTTTCTCCCCTTCATTTTGGTAGGTATGCTCTAGCTGATAGATGAGGTCTGAAGCCTTTTCAGTACGCCCAAATACATCTTGTAAAATATCTAGATAGCCCTGAGCAGTGCAATCCTGTTTGCTAAGTTTTAGGTTGCGAATGGCCTCCAATGCATGGCTAGTATTGAAGGCTTTAGAAAGCAAAAGCCCTGATTTGCTTCTTACATCGTCAAGGGAGGCCCGGCGGCTACATCGTGAGTGGGATCGGCTACAGTTACGCCACGGAGTGGTCTACCGAAGGGGCAGCCCCTCTGATGATCCTGAAGAGAAATGGCAACTATTTTTGACCGCAAAACACAGAGAAACGGTGCTGGCCGCTCTCCATGATGACCATGGCCATCTGGGACCAGAAAGAACCTTTTGTTTGGTAAGAGACCTCTTCTACTGGCCCTGCATGCGGACAGAAGTTGAAAGTTACTGTCACTCCTGCATCCGATGTATTCAGAGGAAGACTCTGCCTCAACGAGCTGCCCCAATGGGCCACCTTCAAAGTCAGGGACCCATGGAGTTGGTGTGCATTGACTTCCTGTGCCTGGAGTTGGATCAGAGTGGACAGGGAAATATCCTGGTAGTGACTGACCATTTTACCAGGTATGCCCAGGCTTTTCCTGCTAGAGATCAGTTAGCATCAACTGTGGCAAAGATTTTAGTAGAAAGGTTCTTTGTGCATTACGGACTACCACAACGTATCCACTCAGACCAAGGGAGAGATTTCGAGAGCAATCTCATCAAGAGACTCTTGAGTCTACTAGGCATCCAAAAGTCGAGGACTACTCCATACCATCCTCAGGGAGATCCTCAGCCAGAGAGATTCAATCGTACCCTCCTGAATATGCTCAGGACTTTGACTTCAGTGCAAAAGCAACGCTGGAGTAAGCATGTAGCAGCCATCGTACATGCCTACAATAGCACTGCCAACGATGCTACAGGATACTCTCCTTAC